TTGCACCATGGCACTTCAGCCTGGGCAATAAGAGTGAAATTCCATCTCAAAAAAATAAAAAATAAAAAATCTGTCCTTTGTGGCCAGGTGAAGTGGCTCATGCCTATGATCCCAGCACTTTGGGAGGCTGAGGCAGGCGGATCACCTGAGGTCAGGAGTTGTTCAAGATCAGCCTGGCCAACATGGTGAAAACTGTCTCTACTAAAAATACAAAAATTAGCTGGGTGTGGTGGTGGGTGCCTGTAATCCCAGCTACTCCAGAGGCTGAGGCACGAGAGTTGCTTGAACCCTGAGGCAGAGTGTGCAGTAAGCTAAGATTGCACCACTGCAGTCCAGCCTAGGCGACAGAACGAGAAGATTTGTCAAAAAAAAAAAAAAAAAAAAGTCTGTCCTTTGCAACTTTTCAGTATAAAGGGGTGGGGTGGGGAGAAGATCTGTCTTGTTGAGTAAGGTGGTGGATGACATGGTGTAACCTCTGCTGAAGATGTCTTAACACCTCGAATCACGTCATATGGCACTATATTGTAGCCACCCCTGTCCCTGCCCATGGTGATTATGAGATTTTCTCACTGGATGGGAGCCCTGCAGTTGAGGTTTCTTAGGGTGTGTTTTTGTCCTATAGGTTTAGTGACGTTGATGGGGTTCCTTTGGAATTCCAGCAGCTAAGTCTGCCAGAGCCACAGAAGGTTAGCTCAGGACAGCAGAGGAGCTGACAGCCTGGAGAAGCTGTGTTTGTCTGCTGGTGGGGAGCTCTTGTTTCTAAAGCAAGATTCGGCAAGACTGACAGACCACTGTCCTATACTGCTGGTGGCTGCAAAGGATGTTGCAGGCTTGAACCACAGTGTGCCTGTCTTTGGCACTGCCGCTGTTCCCCAGTTTCCTCAGCTCCAGATGGAGCGTGTCTCAGGGACCACACAGAGCTTTGTTTAAATGCTCACATTAGCAGAAGGACGGGGATCCCATTGAATCATCCTCTTCTGTCAAAACGCCAAGAATTGTTCAGAATGAAAAAACAGTTTTTCTCAAAGAGGCTAAATCTCTAGTACTAATTAGTTGCAGTGGTGGCGTGTGTGGCGGGTGGTGGTGTGGTAATCTTGTACCTCCAGTGTTCTAAATAGGGGCAATCTTTTTGCTCATGGTCTGAGCCATAGAGTGAGTAACCTTGATCTCCTAAGACCCTTCATTTGGACTCACGTGTGTGAGTCCTGCAAGAATCGCGGAATGCCTCTCTCTCTTGTTGGGTCCAGACATTTAAAATGAATACATTAAAGGGTGGTGGTAACACAGCCATTGTCATTGCAGACAAAGTGGTATTTATATACAGGCACTAGCTGTCTTTCCATAGGGCTCAGCAACAAGGGTAAGTTTGATCTTTCATCATGAACCGCTGGGGTGTTCTTTCTACACAGAGGCTGTACCAGCTGAAAATAGCCCAAACATCTTGTAATTTTGTCTTTCCCAATTTTTTCCTATTCATACCCCAGAATAAAAGAGCCTGTTCAGCCTTTCCAAAGATTTAAAGAACATTATCTGTTTGCTTTCTAATTACCCAAAAAGCACAGCCATTTACATTCACCTTGCCTGGATGAGGACAGGCATGCATTCATCCATTCAATAGATATTTATTGCCAGACATGGTGGCTAACGCCTGTAATCTCAGCACTTTGGGAGGCAGAGATAGGAGGACTGCTTGAGGCAGGAGTTTGAGACTAGCCTGGGCACGAGACCACATCTCTAAAAAAATAAAATAAAAAATTAGCTGGGCATGGTGATGTGTGCCTGTGGTCCTAGCTACTTGGGAGACTGAGGTAGGTAGGAGCATTGAGCCCAGGAGTTTAAGGCTGCAGTGAGCTATATTCACACCACTGCAGTCCAGCCTGGGTAACAGAGCGAGACCGTCTCAAAAAAAAAAAAAAAAAAAAAAAAAAGCCTGGGCACTGTGGCTCACACCTGTAATCCCAGCACTTTGGGAGGCCGAGGTGGGCAGATCATGAGGTCAGATGGAGACCATCCTGGCCAACATGGTGAAACCCTGTCTCGGAATTACAAAAAACTAGCCGGTGTGGTGGTGTATGCCTGTAATCCCAGCTACTTGGGAGGTTGAGGCAGGGGAATCACTTGAACCCGGGAGGCAGAGGTTGCAGTGAGCTGAGATGGTGCCACTGCACTCCAGCCTGGCAACAGAGCGAGATTCCGTTT